CCATATTCCACCAAAATAAATAGCACAATTGCAAACAGAACTGATGGAACTCTACTGAAATCTAAACAGATACAAGTAAGTAAATTCAGCTTGCAGAATGCAAGCATAGATTAAATACACATTCCAGGCTGCTGTTGGAAATCCCCTACAAGGCTCATTTAAGTACATGAAAGAACAACAGAACTCCCAGAGTCTAACATTCCATTCGATGTACACTTTTGTTTGTTCTGTGCTGGAGTGTTGGCTGCCATTACCATCTGAAGGTAAACTTCTATCATGAATGTATAGTGTAAAAATGCCTATTTCAAGGCTTCTTGCAGTCTTGAAAAATGTATGTTCCATTTTCTAGATGATGCAGTAGTTCAACTACGGGGGGGGGGGGGGGTGCAGGGGTACATGATACAGAAATTTAGAAACACATATATCCCCCCCCCTTTCAGTGTCTCCCCAGTGTACTATAGGTCCCCATTTTGGAGATAAATCTTCAGGTACCTCTTTTTCAGACTGTTTTCGATTTACTGCATGTTAAGTTTCAACTTTGTGAATGTAGAAATATATTAATCATTTGGTCCTTCAGCGAGAGAGAGAGATTTACACAATGCTTTAAAGCACACACTTTTATTTCTCTGTATCATCCAGTTGCATAACTTGTTAAGCATTTTATAATTTTGCAATTACTGTAATAAAGTATTACTCAGTTGATGCTTTGATATTTTTTTTAAATTCTAGTGGAACACTGGATCATTTTCTCTGTTCTAGGCAATGGTGTTTTCCAGCAATTTTCTGTTCATATTTTTGCCTGTTCTCCTCTGACATTGCATCTGATTGCATCCAAGCAAACCTTGATCTGAAGAATAGGCACATAGATTTATGGAAATGAATTTCCGTAAATATCCTCAACCGTGATCAACACTGTAGCTTCAATTGTTTTCTTCCTGGTAGCAGGTCACAGTCTTAGCTGTATTACCCCCCGCCCCACCCTATATTTGGTCTATAACCATTGGATCACCATGCTCTTTATACCCAATATACAGAATTGGTACATTACTCCTTATAGAGGCATTAATCACCTCTATCCACTCAGTCCATCTTCTCTGGCTAGTTGTTAATAGCCAGGATGGACAAGAGTCAAGAATACTGGTATTTGGGTGAATCTATCCAAGCACTTGGTCCACATCCTCAGGCTGGAACTAAAGTTGATCTCTCACAACTGGACTAGATGGTATTTTGGATGCCTCCATAGGAACCATATCAATGGCATTAAGTTCAAGGCAAATAGGAGTGATTTTGAAGGATATAGTGTCTTCTTACCCAAGGCTTCACTCCATACCTACTGCAGTCACATTTTAATAATCCATTCATTGCATAGCAAAGCTTTGCTGGATGGCTACTGCAGAGAAGTAAGACCACTGCACTGCTGCAAAGTAGACACAAAATTGTGCTCTTTCTCATTAAGTTGTAGTTTCTGTGAGATTTGTATTTCAGTAGTCCTTTCTGTTTCATACTTCCAGCTCCCTGGTAAACCATGAACTCCTTGGTAAACCATGAAGCCCTGATCTGTCCCCACTCAGGCAATCCTAATATGAATAGGGTAGTTATTAGGCAACACCATGACAGACCATCTCGGCCAACTTGGGCAGGGAGACTGATGGGCAGCAAAATCCTTAATCTCTCTAGTCCAACACCTGATACATACACCGAAGTCTGGCACTTTTAGGTCTTAAAAAAGGGAAATGCCTTTTTCTCATGTTCTTAATCTATGTTGGATCAGACCAAAGAGCCATCTAGATCAGCACTTGGTACACATTGGTCGCAAACTAGCTACCCACAGGATCCCTCAAGCAGGATGGGTGCAAGACTTCCTCCTACCCAAGCTTCTCAGCAACTGGTTTTTCCAGGCATGCCAGCCCTGGTAAAGGGAGAGCACACAGCCAGCAAGGCTAGTAGCTACTGATAGCCTCCTCCCTCATAAATTTGTCCAATTCCTTTTTAAAGTCATCCAGATTGGCAGCTATCATCACTTCCTGTAGGAGTGAATGCCATAGTTTAACTAGGCATTGTATGAAGAAGTACTTATCTGCCCTAGACCTCCCACCATGGCTTCATGAGTTTGAGTGCTGTGAAAGAGGGAGAAAAATGTCTCCCTTTCTACGAGTACTTTTTCCACACCATGTCATTTAAAACATCTCTATTATGTCTCCTGGTACTTGCTGAACAGTTCCAGCTATCAAAGCCAGTCTTCATAGGGGTGTTTCTACAGTCCACTGATCATTTTTGTTTCCCTTCTCTGCATTTTTTCCAATGAAATAATGCGCTTTTTCAGGTATGGCAATCACACTGAACACAATATTCCAAGTGCAGTTGCACCAAAGATTTGCATTGGGAATAAGACTTTATTCCTATTTCATTCCTAATTTTGCCTAGCATGGAGTTTGCCTTCTTCAGAGCAGCTGAGCAATAGACTGACATTTTCATTGTCCTGGCCATCACTACCCCAAGATCCCTTTCTTGCTCAATCCCTGCTACTTATCCCACCAGTGTATACTTGAAGTTGGGATTTTTTGCCCTATCATGCATTACTCTACACTTGCTTATGTTGAACTGCATTTACCATTTTGATGCCCATTCTCCCTGCTTGGAGAGATGCCTTTGGAGCTCCTCACAATCCTTTTTTGTTTTAACCACCAACATTCAATCATCTGAGTGACCCTCCATGTAGTCTAGAGTTATGTGCTGTCAAGCTGTCAATCCTATATATGAAAGCCCTTCAAAATGTCTTATCCACGACAGCCCTACTCAGTTGTTGTACGTGCTTGTAGTTTGAAGTAGCATAGTTTAAATACAGGTTTACTAACTCAGGTAGGACCCTGTGCTCCTCATAACTAGCACACAAATTGAAATCTAGGTCATTGATTAAGAGATTGAACAGAAAATCAGTCCCAGAACAGCCCTGAGGGCCTCTGCTTGACACTGGCTGCCATCCTGATGATCCCCTGCTGACAGTTGCCCTCTGCTTGTGACCATCCACCATCCCCTAATCCAGTGGACACTGCATTGATCTATCCTGAAGCTCATAAATTTCTCAACCAGCATATCATTGTCAAAAATCCTGCTGATGGGTTTTACTGATTTCCATAGAACTGGCTTCTGTCTAAGCATGCACTGATTTGTACTGTTACTCGTAGTGTTTGTAGGCATGCTAAACAGAATTCTAATGTGAACATGCCCCCATTCCCATTTCTTCTTGTTGTTAGTCACGAAGTCGTGTCCGACCCATCGCACCCCATGGACAACATTCCTCCAGGCCTTCCTGTCCTCCACCATCCCCCACAATCCACTTAAGCTCACACCAACTGCTTCAGTGACTCCATCTAGCCACCTCATCCTCTGCCGTCCCCTTCTTCTTTTGCCATCTATTGTTCCCAGCATTAGGCTCTTCTCCAGGGAGTCCTTCCTTCTCATTAGGTGGCCAAAGTATTTGAGTTTCATCTTCAGTATCTAGCCTTCTAAAGAGCAGTCAGGGTTGATCTCCTCTAGGACTGAATGGTTTGATTGCCTTGCGGTCCAAGGGAGTCGCAGGAGTCTCCTCTAGCACCACAATTCAAAAGCCTCAATTCTTCGGCGCTCAGCCTTCCTTATGGTCCAGCTTTCACAGCCATACGTTGCAACTGGGAAAACCATAGCCTTGACTATACACACTTTTGTTGGCAGAGTGATGTTTCTGCTTTTTCACATGCTGTCTAGATTTGCCATAGCTTTCCTCTCCAGGAGCAAGCATCTTTTAATTTCTTGGCTGCAGTCCCCTTCTGCGGTGATCTTGGAGCCCAGGGAAATAAAATCTGTCATTATTTCTGCCAGAGGCTGAAATTTAGACCAATACAAATGTGAATATTTCACTCAGAGTAAAGTGCATGCACAGAGAATACAAAAACCATTTACCTCTTGCTCCAGAAGAATTGATCCAAAGCTGGCTTACTTGCTCTTTCTTATATATCTTTGTCACAACAATAGCTTTCAGGATAGGGAGGAATAGACTTGCTGTCTCTGGGGCTTAGGAGTATTGTATTGCATTATTTTTAACTGGAGCAACTTAGACCAACAGGGGCTGCTGCTTTTTATGACAAATCGTCCTAAGTTAAAATATTTTCCAGAGGAGTAAAAAATGCTGCTTTTGATAAGACTTGTTTTGACAGAAAGAATATGCTGACAGATATACGACAAATCGTTTTAAAAGGTACCAAGCACGGGCGTGCTAGAAGGACAGATGAACGGAGTGGGACGCACGGTTCTCACGGGGTCGTTTCGCGGCTGACATCTCAAGAGGAGCCGGGAAGCGGCAGAAAGTTCCTGATCCTATTGGCTATTCCTCTCACCAATCTCCGCTCTGCTCCCTTTTCGTTGGCTCCTTATTCAGTCCGGCTAGAGCTCACATACACAGCAGTCACGCGCTTTCTTAATTTGGAAAAGGGGGGCGGGGAAGGTTCTCTTCACCAGCCTTTATTGTAGCTGAGGCGGCGCGTGCGGGCTCTCGTCTCCCACCGTTCCACGCTCTTGCCTCCACTTCGACGAAACCTCTAACCGGCTTTGATCTGAGTGCGCGCGAGCGAGCGAGCTGCAATTCCGCTTTGCTTCCCACTCCGGCTCCACACAGCGCGCACAATGAGGAGTAGGCGGCCGGCCGGTTGGCCGGCCGGCTAGCTAGTCTTCACCCCCCTGCGTTTCTTGTGCTCGCTCTGTGATTGGGCAATTGTTTTTGTTCTGCTCCCCCCCGCGCTGCCCTGCTTGTATTCACCTGATTGGTGGATGCGCACCCGCGGGCTTCGTTCTTCCTCCCCCCTTCCCCTCAGGGGTAGGGGTTGGAGCTGCTCCTGGCCGAGGCCCGGCAGTCTCCTGTCATCCCTTGAGGGGCTGGTGACTAGCTCTGGCCGTTGAGTGTCGTCGGGATGAAGCCGCTCAGTTTATTGTGGCCCTGGTAGTGCTAACCTCCCTTGACTGGGAATATGGCCGCACCTCTACCCGCGGCTGCTGCCTGGCTCATGGCGGGCCCGGGGGGAGGCGGCGAGAGGGAGACGCGGGTTCTACCGCGGTCGCCGCTGCTGCTGCCCCTGCTGCTGGGTATTCTCCTCAGCCGCTGCTTCGGAGAGCAGCCCCCGCGCGCCGCCGCCGCCACCTCCTTGTTGCCCGGTGCGTCCGATTCTGAGGAGACTGTGATCATCGGCTTGCGGCTGGAGGACACAGACGATGTGTCGTTCATGGAAAAAGGAGTGCTACGAGTGAGCGAGAGGACCCATGTCAAGCTGCGGGTCTATGGGCAAAATATCAATAACGAGACTTGGTCCCGCATCGCCTTTACTGAGCATGAGCGCTGGAGAGAAGGAGAAGGCAGGCGGCCGCCGGCTGAGCAAGAAGATGGCCCGGCTCCTGTCGGCTCTACCTCGCCCGTCCCACAACGCTGCGGCATTCGCACTTCGGACATCATAATCCTGCCTCACATCACCCTCAACCGACGCACCTCTGGTATCATCGAGATCGATATCAAGCCTTTGCGCAAAACGGAAAAGAGCAAGTCCTACTACCTATGCACTTCCGTATCCTCCCCAGCTATTCTGGGGGGCCCAGGGGGCTCTTCTGGGGGCAGCAGTGGTGGAGGGGGGATTATTGGGCCTGATGGAGGGCCATGGACGGAGACCACCTGGATTTATCATGATGGTGAGGACACAAAGATGATTGTGGGAGAGGAGAAGAAATTCTTGCTTCCCTTCTGGCTTCAGGTGATCTTCATCTCCCTCTTGCTGTGTCTCTCAGGAATGTTCAGTGGACTCAACTTGGGACTTATGGCCCTTGATCCTATGGAGTTGCGTATTGTGCAGAACTGTGGGACGGAAAAAGAGAAGAACTATGCCAAACGTATTGAACCTGTGCGTCGCCAGGGCAATTACTTGCTCTGTTCTTTACTCTTGGGCAATGTGTTGGTCAACACTACTCTTACCATCCTGCTCGATGACATCGCTGGTTCCGGACTGGTGGCCGTGGTGGTCTCCACCATCGGTATCGTCATCTTCGGTGAGATCGTGCCGCAGGCTATTTGTTCCCGGCACGGCCTTGCCGTAGGCGCCAACACCATCTTCCTCACCAAGTTCTTCATGATGATGACCTTCCCGGCCTCTTACCCGGTCAGCAAATTGCTAGACTGTGTCTTAGGGCAGGAAATTGGTACTGTCTATAATCGTGAGAAACTGCTTGAGATGTTAAGGGTCACTGATCCCTACAATGACCTGGTCAAAGAGGAGCTGAATATTATTCAAGGGGCACTAGAATTGCGTACAAAGACAGTGGAAGATGTAATGACCCCACTTCGGGACTGTTTCATGATTACTGCTGAGGCTGTGCTTGATTTTAACACTATGTCTGAGATTATGGAGAGCGGTTATACCCGTATCCCTGTCTTTGAAGGGGACCGCTCCAACATTGTGGACCTTCTTTTTGTTAAGGACTTGGCCTTTGTGGATCCTGATGACTGTACTCCACTCAAGACTATCACCCGTTTCTATAATCATCCACTGCACTTTGTCTTCAATGACACCAAGCTTGATGCCATGCTTGAAGAATTCAAAAAAGGTGGGATGGTGGTGATGGGAGAGGGGAAGGAGAATGCATGAGAGAAGCTTTAAGCTATATACTTGCTTAATATTTAAAAGTATAACTGAGCTTCCTGGGATGCTGAATTCTGTGCTCAATACCACATTGGTGAAACTAGAGTAGCAGAATGAGCCATTTCCCTTCATTTTTTCCCTTGGTAATGATAGGCTTTGACCTGCTTTTATGCTCATTTCTATGTCTTCATGCTTCTCTTGAAGACATTACTTATATATTATTCCGTAACCAATTTATTGCATATGTGATATGGATTTGTGGCTCCCTTCTGTAGGCATCTTCCTCATGTACCTTATTAAACACATTTTTTGTTTGTACAGTAAAATAAGTTTTGGACAAATTTCACATGAAACAGGAGAAGTTTATGTGTCCAAGTTTCATGTTTTTGCCCCAAAGTACATTTAGAAATGCACAGGAAATAGTAATGAATTACATGCTTTTTAGTGCTAGATTCTAATTCAAGGATTTTGGAAGCAATTTTTAAATTTCAACAACCTCCACTTCAACTGCTAAGGTGAATTCTGTGTTTGCATATAAGTAGTACTGTGCCTATTTTATAGAAGAAATAACTTTTTGAAATTTATGGTTGGATGTCTGAGCTCTGGTGGCACAAATGTCTACATGGAACACACTTGTGTAAAACATAATTATCATTTTAGATATTAACATGGTCATAGATTAGGGCTTTTCACTATCTATAGATATGCTTGGAGGCTGTGCTTCACCCTGGCTCTCTAGCACACGTACGCTGTAGGTATACTGTACTTGCAGCCAAAAGTAATTTTGCATTGTGATCTATATGTGGGTTTTAAACTGATTCATACATAAAAGTGCCTAATGTGTGAGATTCTTTGCTGTAACATGCAAAATGGTTATAAAATACCATCGGTGTTTATTGCTACTTGTGGATTATTTTGGTCAGTTTTTGATAGTTATGTATGTACTTCAGAAGTTCCACTGGGAATATTAGGATGGTTCCCAGTCATGATACACCACCTATGGTAAACAGTGATGAAGATGGTGCTATTGTTAGGTAGAGTGAAGGTGGTGCTTGAGGCAGCTGATTTTAGATGTTATGAAAGGGAAGCAAATTATTAATAATGCAGTGTATTATTGTTGTACTCTTAGTGCTGAGAAAGGTACAATGTGCTTGTCAGGTTTTCAAGGTCTGTTGTTGTTAGTCGCAAAGTCGTGGACAACATTCTTCCAGGCCTTCCTGTCCTCCACCATCCCCCGGAGTCCACACAAGCTCACGCCGACTGATTCAGTGACTCCATCTACCCACCTCATTCTCTGCCGTCCCCTTCTTTTGCCATCTACTGTTCCCAGCATTAGACTCTTCTCCAGGGAGTTGGGTGCCTTCATATTGCAGGGAGAGGGCACCATGTGGTGCTTTATTCTGATTGACTTGAAACATGGACACTTACTTTTAAAGAACATTGTGTTCCACATGAATTATATAAATTCTGCCATATATGCCCTTGTGTCTTATTATGATCTCTAAAAACTGAGGATATCCTCTTATATGATCTGTTTCTCAAATTACAGTTGACCCTTCCTTAATAATTGCCCATCAGCTGTGAAGCTTCTTCTCATTGCAAACTAGTCCTGAGCATCTTTGAAGTCTATTTATTTGGGGTTTGGAATTAAGTTTGGAAGGCATAGTGAAAGATAAGCTATTGTTCTGTGTTATTGATTTTTATGTGTGTTAAACACCCTGAGCCTTCAGGTTGGAGCAGGCTATGCATCTAAAATAATTTTGTAATAAAACTTTCTCAGATCAAATTAAGCAGAAGGTAGTCTGCTCTACTGACTGTCTTTACTGACTGCATTTACAACTTGGGTAAACAAGGTAGTGCTGGAGTTAACCTGTTCTTAGAGTAGTTCTTGAACTGTAGCTGAACTTTAACACTCAAGTTTCTGATTTCCAGGCAGTAACTATGTTGGTTAGATTTCAGAGCAATATCAGGCTCACTAAACTTTGGCTGTATATACTAGCTTTTTCCATTTAAAAGTAACCCAACTTTATTTGGAAGTTCTGGAACATTTTAATTCAGATAATGAGGTACTTTGTTTGGAAATACATTCTTGGAAACTTGTCATGTGCATCCTGAAGTAATCTGAAGCATTTTAGATAGCCATTTTCCAGAGGGGTTGGAGAGAGAAGAGACTTGTAACCTAGTTAGGTTGTTTGCTGAATTGTAACTTCTGAGCTTCTGAGCAGGAAATGTGGGCAAACCAAATTGCAAACTAAATCTGAAGCTGATGGATATTCCATTTATATAGCAACAGCTTTCACTTTTACAATACTATTAAACATTGTGCTTCCTGAATTTGCTGATATTATTATACTTTCAATGTGTGGCTTTTATGTTGTAATTTTGATTAATGTAAGCTACTTGAGCTAATACTTGTGTAGGATATCATTTATAATGCATGCATACATACAGTAAGTACATCCAAAGGACTGAGATAGAAAAATAAAATGGAATTTTAAAAAATTAAAACAAATATAAAAGCTCTTTTCCCCCAATCTTGTTATTTGTTATTCTAGATTTCAAACCCAAATACATTGGCTAGAGGATAAATCCCATTGAACATGTGGATTGAGTCAGCATGCACAGGATTGCTCTTAGTGGCATTGTAGAAGTGAAAGATATTGCTGTGAAAATTATTGTAATATGTCTACTAAAGCTTCCTTGCAGGCATCAAAAGGCTTATTCAAACAGTTATGCATGCAACATCATTCAGATGTATATTGAATTAGTACAATTAATACAGATTTAAAGCCTCAATATTTTCTAGAGGCTACACTATCCTGCAAAGCTTATGGTAGAATAAATGCCTCATTTGTTCATGAAATAAAGTTTTCTTAAATCCTGTTTTGTGATACAGTATGGCATTAAGTCTTTACTGGAATATGATGAAATATTTCCAGACTTGTTACTACAGATGGAGTCATTTCTTTCCTAAAATAGAAGCTGGACAGATTTGACAGGGATATTTTTCAAAAATGTACCTTAGTGTCACAGACTAAACTGCTATTGATTCTGTCTTATAATAACTGTTTCTCAAGTAATGTATGCAGGTGTGAATATATTTGTGGTTTTGCATTTGTGATTCTTGCCTACTTAGATTTAGTCGGGGATGCTTGAAAAAACACCTGTGTAACATAGCACTTGCAAATTCCCATTCATGCTTCTTTCCCTCCACTCTATGAAGCTATTGTAATACCTGTTTCAGTAGCAGAAATGAGATGACCTTTGCACTTTTCCCAACTTCATTCTTTACCCTTGCTGAAGTAAACAGAGTGTTGGGCTTGTCTTCAGGGAGGTTTTGAATATGACACCTGTTTCCTCTAAAACTCATATCATATTGCTGAGGTATAGGATTGATCTTTAGAACCGAAATTGCTTCTGATCTGAGTTGGTGCGAAGAACAAAAGCTTGCTGTAAGTTTAACTTTAAGTACTGTAAAGACTAATAATATAAAACTATATTAAAAAGTTACTGACATTTAAAGCTGCTGCTGGGTATGTGCCCCTGACTGGTTTGGGAAGAGGAATTCGTATCTTTGTGTTTTACAGCCTATGGCTTTGGTGCTGCTATACTACTAATAATTTGACTGTATGTAACGTTTAGACTGAAATGACATAAAGAGAACTGCAGCATCTCTTAAGCTCAGTTAATCTTAATATTTTGACTAAGTGCAAGTTTGAAACAGACACACATACACCCACAGATATGCACAAAGTGAGGGAGAGAGAGGGAACAGTGATTCTGAAAGTGGTTCTCTTCCCATTTTGAGAATGAGGTAAAGACCTCCAAATAAGGTATGCATTTAGAGGAAGCAGGATGGGATCTTATAGTAGATAAAGCCTAAGAGACTTTTCTTCCAATAACAGATAAAATATCACTAGATGGCTAACTATGGAACCTGCAGAGGTGTGGGGAACACATAGGAGCACCTAGTTGCTACAATTATTTCCTTCTGTCCAGTTAGTAAAAGAGTCTGGATTTACCCCATTCTAGACTTCTGATGCCATGGTTAAATTAGTGTCACGCACATACAACAACATGTGAGACTCCTGTGGACTTGCCTGTCAAGGAGATGGCTATAGTTAAGAAACTGAGAAGGCAGAATGCGTTTCGAAGGCTTGTATTTTGAGAAGCACACTGCATTAGAAAAAGAGCTTTGTTTATGCTATTCTGTGTGATGAGATGATAATGATGGGGTTTGCATGACATTGTAAACAACAGTAGGTTGTGAGCCTTGTTTGTGTCAGCATGACTTGTCAAGATGCCTGAACCTGGCATGTAGGCTTAAGTGTCATTTGTTAACTATCCTGAGAACCCATGGCTTATTGTTGAGTTGTTGAGGATCAGTTGTCATGATGTATGACCCTGGCAGTGTGGATTGTAAGTGGCTTTTTAGTATGGACAACAGACCTACCTGGCAGGAACATTGAAAAGCTCAGCAACTTCCTGCTTCTTCATTAATGCTGTCCTTCCCTCTACCAATACAGAATTGACATTTGTGACTGTACTTAGTGCAGTCACAATCTTTTATTTCTTTGTATAGAGCTTCACAAGTGAGCAAATGCATCATCATATTTATCATCATTGATTTACAAAGATGTAAATGCAAATGAGTTCATGTCATTCATTACTGAAGCAGTCCCATGAATCTTTAAACTTATAAAGGGTTACAGATCCATTTGTACACCTGCAAATAACCCAATAATTATAAATTATAAATAATTTTAAAATTATGAAGTCATTGAAGTACTTGTGAAACACTAAAATGCATCAATTGTGCACTTGCCAAATGCTGGTTTTTTAAAACTTGCAAATATACTAATTTCTCAGAAAAGGGGTAGAAATCAGAAGTGAGGGGAAGGGAGGAAAGAAATGTTTCCTTCTGCAGGGAAGAGGAGGATACAAAAGAAGTTGTGCTTCAGTAGT